AGTGCAAACTACACTAAACTAGGATGTAAAAAGTACAACTACAAATGTGAGATTGAGGGCTAACATTAACAGGAGGGGGCGGGAGCGGGAAGGGGGCGCATGGGGGTAGCCGGTAGTGGTGGCAGAGTGTTTGGCAGAGAGCAGGGCTGGGCTTGTGGCAATGCTGGTGCACCGGATAAAGCAAAATGTCAGTGGGGAAGGGAACGGAAGAGAAGACGGGGAGGGGGGGAAGAGCTGTGAAGAAGAGGAAATTGGGACACTTCCCCCCCTTTCACACATGCATACCACCACCACACCCCTTGGGTGCAGTACTATCAGATATAGGAGAACACATAACTTATCGCCCATTTGGATCAACCCCCACCATTTCAGAGGCATGATTCAGCGCAAGCACATATGGCATGATTCAGTACATAACCATTCGTCCTGTACACACATGGCTGCTCACATGGCATACCGCTTGCCAACATGGCATTCCATCTGCCAACATGGCAGTCCATCTGCCGACATGCCATTCCATCTGCCGACATGCCATTCCATCTGCTGACATGGCATTCCATCTGCTGACATGGCATTCCATCTGCTGACGTGACAGGAGGAATGTTAATACATAGATGGTCTCTCCCTCTCGTATAGTCGCTGCAGGGGAAAGATGACGGCAATGTGAAAAAGAGAGGAAGGGAAGGAAAATTGACAAAGTGAGGAGAATGGGAGAAAATGGCGAAAAATTAAGGGGATGGGGTAGAATGGGAGAGGATGGGGGTGATGATGAAAAGGAATGGAGGGGCAGGGCGAAGGGTAGGGGAGATGCGCGCGGGGAGGGGAGGAGAGGGAAAGCGAGGGGGTTGAGGTGGGTGAGGGAGGGTGCTGTGGGTGGACGTGAGTGACATGCATGTACCGCTTGATGTGATGCCGTGTCATGTCCATGTAACGTGCATGTATATGTGAGAAGCGCATGTAGTTGAAATGCATGCATGAGCATGTGAGCATGCAGGAGTGGAGTGGACCCATGAGAGCATGCCTCTTCGTGCATGTCACATGCAGCAGATGGCGTCGACATAATACTATCAGCAGGGCTGAAGACTCATCCAAAAATTGCAATCCATGAGCGCTTCATGTTGCTTCACAACTCTCTTGCTTCCATCACTGCTTCACTCTCTCCCCAACTCCCCCACCCCCTTCCAAAACCGCCACACGCACATCCAAAACCGTCCCACCACTTCACGCCCAGAAAGTTCCCAGAAGGTTTCATGTGGCGTCGCCTCCGCACCACTCGCTCTAACCACCACCTTGCGATGCCACCCTCGATGGGGCAGATGATGCCACACTACCCTCCGCGCGAAACAGCCTCTCCTGCTGGTCTCACATGCCACGTCAGCCGCCACGTCAGCGACCGCATCAGCATGAAAGCATGCCAGGAGGGAGAGGGCTGTGGGAACTGAAGCAACGGCCAATCCACAATAGCTGGCGTCTCTCCCTCCATCCCCTCCGAGTTTTCCGCCGCATCCAAGGCCTTTTCTGCTCCTTCCTCTCCGCCCTTACCCCCCGTTTTACGGCCTTTGCGGCCTTCTTCTCTATTTCGACTCTTCCCTCCTTCCGCCCTTGTCACTCCTTCCGTTCCGTCCGCCCGTCCTAATTCCTGCACTCCCGTCTTCGCTCGCTCACCTCGTCGCGCGCAGAGAGTCGGTTAGGGCGATCTGATTGGGCGAGGGGTCTCAGGCTGGGACACGACCACGGTGGACATGACGCCCACGTGCCGGTTGGGAGAAGGCGACTGGTGAGGGCTGCTTGAGAGTTCGCGCTGTCCCGCCACCATGAAACGGCGGGAACGCAGCGTGAACGTCGCATTTTGAACGATTGTCTTAACATCGCTTTTACGATCAGTTCTTTTCGTGCTCGTAACTAAGGCTCGTAAACTCCTCCCGGGCTCGTTATCGCTTCTGCGCTCGTAGACGCTTCTGCGCTCGTAACCGCTTTTCCGATCGTATTCACTTACGCGCTTGTAATCCCCTTCGCGCTCGTAATCCCCTGCGCGCTTGTTATCGCTTGTGCTCTCGCGAGTCGCGTCTGCTTGTGATTCGCCTGGGAAACATGGCTGGCTGCCTTGGGCTATGCCAAATCCTGCCTCAGGAATGTCGGGATTGCCGTTGCGCCTAACTGCCATCGCAACACACTGCAGTGCGAACAAGCACATTTTAAATTCCGAAATTCGTGTATCCAACTGGGCACAGAAATTCCATGTAATATTGCATTTTGAAATGAATTTCCACCAAAACGAGAAGACGATTGCTCATAGAGAGGACAACACAAAATTTGCTGCAAGGGGGAGTCTCACTTTCCCCCTCGATTCCCTAGCAGGCAATCCCAATGCCTGCTGAATCTGATCCAAATCCGCCTCCAGTGGGCACAGCACACACAGCCCAAACCCTTCTGGCTCACACGCCATCCCTCGAGACGAAACCTAGACCCGTCGCCATAGCGTTGTGCGAAGTTATTTACCGGAAATTGTTTCCATATGGTTTGTTGTAACAAAGCGTCGTCGAAACGGCTAGGGAAGAAATCGAGAACAAAAATGATGGCGGGAAACGGGTGAGGCGCCTCGAGGGACTCAAGCACCTGAAACGCACCGACACCGACAGAATCTCCCCGAACCTCCCACCCGCACCGCTTATTTCGCCTGACGCGACGCCATCAAGTTCCCAAACCTGAGCCCCAGCAAAAGACGCCTTGAGATCCGTCCACACACCTCGCTGCTTCATTTTCCGTCGTTCGATTCCTGTGACGTGGCATCTGTATGAGTAGACAGCAAGGCAGGCCGAGGCTGAAACTCCAATGTTCGGGCAGACGAGGCATGTGGGGGTGGAGGCAGGGGTTTGAGCATGCGAGGCCCGAGAGGAGTAGAAAATGGGGTCGCCGAGATTTCAACTTATCATTCCCTCTTCCTCTACCATTCTGTCGATCTGTAGTGAAAGAGAACTTTCAGAAATAAGTCTCTGTCCAACGATCAGTTTCTGTTCAGCGATCCGCAGTAAAGTAACATGGCCTCTGTCGCCGATATTTGCACTGATAACTCGGTTTCCCACTCGACGAGCAGCCCTGCAACGCCTACCAGAGGCATTGGCAGGTTCGGAACCCCGCGAACCGTTTTCTCGCCTGTAAGATACTCTCCTGCCAAGCCTGCTGCTTGCAACGGTGACGGCGAGACATGCTGCAGCAGCGTGCTCCTGAAGAGCGTGAGGCCGCTACTGGAGAAACTGGCCTCCCAAGGCGTCGCTGACGGGCAACACAAGCCCGCCAAGGTGCACGTAGCTGACGCACCTGATGTGAAGCGGCGTGGAATCGGCCGCTTCGGAGGCAAGCCTGCTGCTGCCGTGCTTGCACCTGCGGTCGTCCCTGCTGCTCGCTCACCATCTTCTGCTGCTGCAGTCACTCAATCTGCTGTGGTGGTGCCTGAGGTAGCGCCTGTGGCTCCAGTGGCTTCCACTACACCACAGGTGCCTGAAGCGAGTGTGACAACAGAAACAATATCCGAGGAGACGAGTGCACATGCTGCTGATCCGAATGAGAAAACGAGGTGGTCGAAGCTGCGTCAGGAAGTTCAAGCTATGGATATTGCAATGACACGTGCTGCTTACCTGAGGTGGGACAAGCTGAGCAAGGAATCATCATTGGCCATGGAGATTGAAGCGGCCATTGAAGCCACCCTGAGTACTTTCTTCTTGCCCAAGCATCCTGATGCTGTGGCGAATCTGACTCCCAAAACCGTGCCTCCTGCATCTGCAGCAGCAGCGACTGTAGCAACAGCACCTGCTCCCTCTGCAGTATCTGCAGCAGCAACAACAAAAGCAGTGAGAGGAGCTGCAGCAATAGTACAGAAGCCAATGCGTACCCCATGTGCAGCAGCACCAGTAGCAGCTGCAGCAACAACATCAATGAATTCACCTGCTTTGGCATCACCAGTGAGAGGAGCTGCAGCAGCAGCACAGGTTTCAAGACCTGCTGTTTCAGCAAAGTGCAAGGTGGGGGTTGAAAGTGCATGGGGTAAGAATGGGTGCAGCAGCAAGGGGAGGCCAGCAGTGGGAGCAGCTGGCAAGGCCAGCAGCAGGCTGGCGAGTGGGGTGAAGAGGAGAGAGGAGGGCGGGTATGGGAAGGGAGCAGCAGGGAGTGCATTCGGTAGAAGGCAGGGTGGTGTGAAGGCAGCAGGTGGCAGAGCAGTGGCAAGTGGCGTGTGTGGCAGGGAGGGGGTGAAGCAGCATGCAGGGAGGAGAGAGGGTTTGGTGCATGAGAGGCAGGCGAGGCCAGGCTGCAGCAGCAGCAGGGCGCACAGAAGGAGCTCCTGAAAGATCCCTCATGATCATGCCCGCACTCAACATTGGCTGTACATACATGGGTACAACACTGAAGGGTGTGCTGGAACAATGGTGACAACGGAACAACCCCCAGCTGCTGTTGGGAATACGTGACTGATGTTAGGAAGTGCCAAGTGCGATGTATATTACGGTACTAGGATTTGTTCATACTACGGTACCTTTCCAGTTGGACATGGTATTTGCAAGTTGCTACTACTGTAAATTGCATCATGTACTTCTCTGTGATGCACCTGATGGGAGCAGTGCAGTGCAGCTCACTATGAAGAGTGCAGCACAACACTGGAGCAGATGATTATCACTTCGTAATCTCGCTGTGTTGATGATGCTTACTGACGCATCAGTGCAAAACTTGAACGAATATTGATCTACGATACCGTATCAGTGTGTTAATACAGATGCCTGGTATTGATTTCATGCTGTTCTCGTTCCTTGGCCCCACAGATAAACCAAGTTTTAAACCTCCGAAAACCCCAATTCACTACCATAGCCAGCCTTTAGAGGTTTTGTGATTTGCAGACATAACCGTTTGAAGCACAGTATCCTACGCGAACACCCTAAGGACATGATGTGATCTGATTGACCCAAGCTTTGTATCTACAGAGTTCCTCCCTTCCCAGCCCCCCTGTCGTTCTACCCACGTAACTCGAGTCCATTATCTGCTGCTTGTTTCCTTCGAGCTGCTGCTGCTACGTGCGCAGCGGAGGCGAGACCAGAATGACTCCGTCGCCTCTCACAAAGATGAACGGGATGTTGCGCCTTGATGTCTGCAGGCAAGGGGGACAGGAAGGGAGGGGGGAGTGAGGAGAGAGTTACAGTCGCCTCTCACAAAGATGAACGGGATGATGCGCCTTGATGTCTGCAGGGCAGGGGGAAAGGACGGAGGGGGGAGTGATGAGAGAGTGTGTGTGTGTCTGGAGGGGAGGATGGTTGTAAGGAGTGGTAGCGGATGCTGCAGCTTGACGTTTGCAGAGGAAGCACGGAGGGGGGTGGAGGGGAGTTAGGGTTGGTGGAAGGTGGTGGGGGTGTTGGGGGTGGTGGGGCCACATTTGGGTGAGGAATGAGGGGGGAGGTGGGTGTGGGGGAAGCTGAGAAGGCAAGAGGAGGGGTGCAAGGGAGGGGAGTTGGGACGGCTGGAGAATGGAGTGCATGAGAGGGGACAGCACAGGCAGCATAAGCAGTATTGACTGTAATGAAGCAAAGAGCAGGGAGTGGGATGCCACATCTTGATGTTGATGCTCGCACGAAAGGAAAAAATGGGGGGAAGCTGACGATGGGAGGACAGGGGAGGGAGGAAAGGGAGAGGGGAATAAGGGGAGGAGGAGGAGGCGAGAGGGTGGGTATCAAAGAAGGGGCGTGGAAGAGTTGATGGGGGAAGGAGGACAACGGGGGAGGAACGGAGGGGAGAGGAAGAGGGAGGAGGGCATGGGGAAGAAAGGGGAGGGGAAAAAAGGGGAGGGGAATGGGAGATGGTAAAAAGGGTGAGGGCGGGAAGTGCGAGTGAAAGCGTGCAGGGCTGATACGAGCAGTGAGGAGGAGGAGGAGGAGGAGGAGGAGGAGGAGGAGGAGGAGGAGGAGGAGGAGGAGGAGGAGGAGGAGGAGGAGGAGGAGGAGGAGGAGGAGGAGGAGGAGGAGCGCAGAGGCACACAAAGGGCACACAGAGGGCGCAGTTAGGGCACAGAGAGCAGGCACAGAGAGAGGGGACTGAGAGAGGGGACAGAGAGAGGGGACTGAGAGAGGGCACAGAGAGAGGGCACAGAGAGAGGGCACAGAGAGAGGGCACAGAGAGAGGGCATAGAGAGAGGGCACAGAGAGAGGGCACAGAGAGAGGGCACAGAGAGAGGGCACAGAGAGAGGGGACTGAGAGAGGGCACAGAGAGAGGGCACAGAGAGAGGGCACAGAGAGAGGGGACTGAGAGAGGGCACAGAGAGAGGGCACAGAGAGAGGGGACTGAGAGAGGGCACAGAGAGAGGGCACAGAGAGAGGGCACAGAGAGAGGGCACAGAGAGAGGGCACAGAGAGAGGGCACAGAGAGAGGGCACAGAGAGAGGGGACTGAGAGAGGGGACTGAGAGAGGGCACAGAGAGAGGGCACAGAGAGAGGGCACAGAGAGAGGGCACAGAGAGAGGGCACAGAGAGAGGGCACAGAGAGAGGGCACAGAGAGAGGGCACAGAGAGAGGGCACAGAGAGAGGGGACTGAGAGAGGGCACAGAGAGAGGGCACAGAGAGAGGGCACAGAGAGAGGGGACTGAGAGAGGGCACAGAGAGAGGGCACAGAGAGAGGGCACAGAGAGAGGGCACAGAGAGAGGGAACAGAGAGAGGGCACAGAGAGAGAGCACAGAGAGAGGGCACAGGGAGAGGGCACAGAGGGAGGGCACAGGGAGAGGGCACAGAGAGAGGGCACCTCCTTTGAGTGGATTCATAAGTCCTCCCGTTACCCTTCCCCCCTCCCTCCCCCCCATCCCCCGTCTTCCTTTCCCATCCCTCATCCCCTTCCCCATTCCCCCCCTCCTTTCCCCATCACTCCCTCTCTTCGCCATGAGTGATGACCCCTGGGATCGCACATGCGTGTATTCCCGCCCTCACAATCGCCTCGCACGCCTCATCCTCAATCTTAACACTGGTAACCACCTCCTCCGCCCTTTGAGGCGCCCACGTACTCAGTTGAAAGAATGCTCAAATGCGAAACCGTCTGCTGTGAGGATCTTCAAAAGAATCTTCCGACTCCTCGTCCCCACCCCCCCCTTCCTCCACCCTCCCCTTCCCCCCCACCTTGACAATCTCCTCGTATGTCTCGTCATCTATCTCCACGGTCGTCACCACCTCTTCCGCCCTTTGAGGCGCCTATAAAAGCACTTGTAAGAATTCTCCGAGGCGCTTCAAGGGAATGTCCCGACCACCCCCCCCAGCCCCTTCCCCTTTTACTGACCTTGACAATCTCCTCGTACGTCTCGTCGTCGATTTCCACGGTCGTCACCACCTCCTCCGCCTCCCCCAGAATCATGTTCAGATGCTGGTCGTATGCCTGCCATGCCACGCGTGCAGGTTTCAGGAAAGGAATGGCGGGAAACGAAAGGGGGAAACGAACTGTGGCTGGATACCGCTGATCTCTCAACAGTGATAACCACCTCCTCTACCTCCCCCAGAATCATGTTCAGATGCTGGTCGTACGCCTGCCACACGTGCACGTTTGAGGGGGGAGGTTCGAAAGGGGAGGTGGGGTTCGCAGGAATCACGTCCGCTTTTGAGGCGCCTCAAAAGTAGTTTTTAGAGGTGCAGGTTGGAACGGGGAGGTAGGGTTCGCCTGAATCACGTCCGCCTCGCCAGTGCTGGCGACGAGGCAGCCTTCGGTCGTCGCCATTAGCACGAAAAACTACGCGTCGTCGAGACGTAGTGGGCCTACGACACCGACGGGAATCGCCACGTGGCCGACGACCATCTCGCAGCATGCGCTGCGGATCGCTTCGAACGGGAGCGATGTGTTCGGCGAGACAAGAAGAGGTTCGGCGGCGCTCGCGATGGGTTCGATTCCCAACAGCCCGCCGTTTCTGGTGCTGATGGCGCCATGTATTAGTGCAGACAAGAAAGCACGAGAGGAATCGAGCTGAGAGGGAGAGAGAAACAGGAGGAAAAGTAACACGAGAGATTGGATTGGAGGGAATGGGAGCATCAATGCTTGCCAGCACAGCCAACGGTGTAGGAACCCTCGCAGCCCTCAAGCACCACATGGTTGCCACATTCCGATTAGCCAACGCTTTATGCTGGAGCGAAACTGCCCAATGGAGTGCTGGCACCACAGGAATCTGAGATTCCCTGTAATCGCAAGCAAATCCACATGGAATAAGTCAGAATTGGTTTCAGTGTTAGTTTCGTTACAACGTTGTGGAATCAGTGTACTTGGGAAAAAAAGTCTGAAATTTCAGTGTGGCCTAACAAAAAAGGCTGAAAGATCAGTCCCACAAAAATCTCAACACTGATTTTTCAGTGTAGGTAAAAAAAGGACTGACAAAATCAGGAATATTGAGAAAGCTTGCTTTCTGTTCTTGCAAAGGCAACAGGCTTCATTACAAATTCAGTACTTACAACATTCTCTTCCAACTATGGATTATACAAATGTACAACTAGGGTGGGTGGGTGGGGAGTGGAACTGCAAAGTTCCGAAATGAAGTCATGGGTGGAGGCCGAATGGCCTCCAACCCTCATTATGTACTCGGCGGATTGTAATTTGCCGTTGCTTTGCTGCGTTACAGGCAGCTGCGCTTTCACAATACACATTTTTAGAAAGTGTTACACACTTTCGAAAAAAAATCATATTGAGAAAGCTTGCTTTCTGTTCTTGCAAAGGCAACAGGCTTCATTACAATTGGGTCTTCTGAGACATGTACGGTTGAGGCCGTTGAAGACGTGTTGAGTGTGGTTGATGGCATTGACGAGTGCCAAGAAGGTGGCGCTGGTGAGTGTGATCCCAATGTTGACGGAATATTGTGTGTACGACGAAGGTTGCTGGTTACGTTGGTGCGGTGGATGTCCTTGATTGTCGGTGTAGCAGGAGAGTGGTTGAAATTGGCGGTTTCCAAAAATCCATACACGCAATATGGAGCCTTGATCTTGGATTTTGGTGAGATGTTGTACTCTATACTTGAATGTCCCTGACGAATTCCAGCGTGGGTGTCTTGGGTCGAAGTGGTAGAAGGGGAGGCTATCCAACACTATGGTTAGATTAGACAAGAAAATACCCCACTGCTCCAAGCCAAACCATTTTTTTTTTTTTTTTTTTTATATACGTATGGCAATAACCAACTATGATTCGTATTGACAAACACCATGGTCAAGAATTTGCCCATCTAAAATCAGCATATGCATATCCCTCCCTAAGGCAGTGGCCCTCTGGCCGGTGTAGGACCTTTGGCCCCAGAGGAACGGCTCTCTGGCCACACGGGGACCCTCGGTCCCCTTCCCCCCCTGGGGGACGGCTCTCTGGCCACACGGGGACCCTCGGTCCCCTTCCCCCCCTGGGGGACGGCTCTCTGGCCACACGGGGACCCTCGGTCCCCTTCCCCCCCTGGGGGACGGCTCTCTGGCCACACGGGGACCCTCGGTCCCCTTCCCCCCCTGGGGGACGGCTCTCTGGCCACACGGGGACCCTCGGTCCCCTTCCCCCCCTGGGGGACGGCTCTCTGGCCACACGGGGACCCTCGGTCCCCTTCCCCCCCTGGGGGACGGCTCTCTGGCCACACGGGGACCCTCGGTCCCCTTCCCCCCCTGGGGGACGGCTCTCTGGCCACACGGGGACCCTCGGTCCCCTTCCCCCCCTGGGGGACGGCTCTCTGGCCACACAGGGACCCTAGATCCCTTCTTTCCATTGGAGGACGTCGTTGGGTGTGTGCAGTTGATCGTGTCGTCGGTGAAATTTTCCGACGCGTCTAGTAGAGTCCCACTTTTAACAAACTTCTTTCCACAATCACGGCGTTGGGCCCGTATTTCTGCCATCAAGGGATTGACGGGGCATAGATATTATTAAACAGAAAATGCAGAGAACGTAATGAAACAAGAAAAGAAGTTGAAATTGAATTGCAGCACTTATATGCCATTGAACGAACTGGTGGTTGACGCCTAGTCAAACGCTCTAGACGCTGCATTGGCTATGTCGTCTCTGTAGCGCTAGTGGCAATTTCGCCACTGGCGCACGTGGCAATTTCGCCACAGTCGCGCGTGTGGCGATTTCGTCCCTGGCGCGCGCCACTGGCGCCAGGGGCGATTTCGTCCCTTGCGCGCGCCACTGGCGCCAGTGGCGATTTCGTCCCTGGTGCGCGCCACTGGCGCCAGCGGCGATTTTGTCCCTGGTGCGCGCCACTGGCGCCAATGGCGATTTCGGCACTTGCGCATGCCTCTGGCGCGTGCCACTGGCGATTTCGTCCCTGGCGCGCTAGTTGTAGTTTCGTCCGGCGCACTTCGCTCTCAGTTGAGCGCACGCGAATTACAGTCGCAGGCCTGATTCTGTCGCATTTCACAGTGAACGCGCGGGGGAGCTAGAGCACTTGGCAGTTGGGTTGTTGTTTCCTAGTAGTAGGTACCGTAGTACTGGTATTAGTGAGAGCGGAAACCTGAGAAGTGGTTGGACGAGAATGAGTGGAACTGCAAAGTTCCGAAATGAAGTCGTGGGTGGCTGATATCTGAGGCCCTGCCTACTATAGCCTACACAAAGTAAGCATTATAACATTCTGACAATCGAAACTAACTAGGCTACATCTGTATACATTTGGGTTAGGTAACGCTATACATAACCGTTCAAATTCCATTCACACACGAAACACCCTTCTACATTGGAACTCGGTATGATACGAAACCAGAACAGGTTCCCGATGTTGGGCTGAGAAAGCCCTTAGGATCTTTTGCAAGACTAAATTCAGAGTAGGACAATGTAATAGCGGAAGCGTTAAATGAGAAGTTTGTGAACCACCTTGCGCTAGTATGTGAGGGCAAAGTATATTGATTAAAACAAAGGATACAAAGAATACAAAGTATATTGATTAAAGCTTTTATAAGAATACAAGGAATACGAAGAGATACAGTTAATAACCGTTTTGGTGTTGCTGTTGCGGTTCGATACAGTAACGACTCGGGCAACTGCTCAATAGCGAGTCAGTTGTTTGTCCTTGCTGTCGCGCTGTATTTGTCAGGTCAAAGGTCGCTGACCTTTGACTTTCGCATAACCTCCAGCAGTTGTTCAACCTCCGAGGGTTGACTCGCTAATGCTTCGATATGTTTTGCTTCGCTTCTGACTTGGTGTTTCGAGACGACAGAGGCGCTAAATCAATTGTTTCCAACACCCGATCGATCAGATGAATTCAAAAAACATCTCTTATCAACCAGAAATCTCAAAAATTCATTTCTGGAAAATCAGATGAACTCGTAAAAATCTGTCTGAATATCGGACATACAGACAGAAAATTTCTGCTAGAGACGACCCTGCTCCACACATTTGAAACACTCGTTAGCAAAACGTTGAAACGAGTGGTTCGGAATTTGGGAAAATGAAAAAAAACTACACTGTTCATTTGAGTCGACCGAAAAGTGCTACCAAATGTATAGGGTTGCTACGTAACCCAAAAACATTATGTTGATTTTTAAGAGTCAACAGAGTATAGTGTTGAAGTTCTGTACCGAGTAGTGAAGCGAGTGTTAACAAGAATAGCGGGACTTCGCTGTCTTCTCACGTCTGACATTCCACCGACCGCCACCAGTCCGCTAACCACTCATGGTACCGCTTCGCGCAGCCTAATCGCGGCTTAGGTTGTGCATTTCCTCCAACCGCCACCCCGGACACACAAAGTGAGTCGCTAGTCGCCGTGCCCGCAATCCGCACTCCGCACTCCTCATCCGCATTCCTCGCCCGGCAACGCTCAATTCGTCCTTCACCCCGCGCCCACTTTCTCTCCGTTGCTCCGCCCGTCACGCGCGCGATTCTTCCCTCTTTCCACTCGCCATCTGCACAGCCTCTCCCCGCCTCCCGCCCTCGCCTCTCTTAGCCTCTCCCCTGTTCCTCGCGTGCCTCCTCTCCTCTCGCCCTTCCATCTTCCCCCTCTCTCTCCTTTTCCTCTGTGTCGCTCTTCCCCACATCCTGCGCCACGCTCCTTCTCCTCTCGCTCCCTCGCCCGTCTTCCTCCCACGCTCCCCGTTCCCCCATACCCCGTCCGTTTCACATTCCATCCTTCATCCCGCGTACACCCGCCACGCTCCCCGCCCCTCTGTTTCCGCGCCACCTCGCGCGTTCCGTGGCTCCCCGCGCCCTCCCACTCCCCTCCCCTTCTCGTCGCGCCTTCCCACTCCCCCCCCCTTTCCCGTCGCGCCTTTCCCACTCCTTCCCCCTTGCGTCTCTCAATCCCGACCCACCCTGTCCGAAGCCCCCCTGCGCGTATGCCCGGTAGTAGCTGGGCTGGGAGGGTTGCGGATGGTGGGGTGGGAGGGCGAGTGGTGCAAGGAGGAGATGCAACCAGCAGGGGCTCTTACCCACCTGCCCCTTGCCCCCACAACCCCTCCTTGCGCCACTCACAGGGCAGGCGAGGGGGCATGGCTGCTGTCACCACCGCCACCACCACCACCTCAACCATCACTGCCGCTCAGCCGCCTTCCAGCATCCCTCCCGCCAACCACACATGGTACCAAACCCCTCTGTGACGGTGACTTGTATGTACCCCAGCCTCTTCCATGGCCGTCTTGTACCATCCTAACTTGACACATGTTCCCTACCATGCTAACTTGACACATGTTCCCTACCATCCTAACTTGACACATGTTCCCTACCATCCTAACTTGACACATGTTCCCTACCATCCTAACTTGACACATGTTCCCTACCATCCCTCACCCCCACACCATCTTTTCTGCACCCACAGGCAGGGACGCGCATTATCCACACCCCTGTCCGCTGGGGGTCATGCAGCGCTGATGGCCTTACCTGCAGGCCGCAGCAATTGCCAGTGCACTGCCCGCACACGGCACACCCACAGCTGATCGTGATTCTTTGGAATGTCTCAACGAAATGAGGTCGACAATCGGTCGACGGACCGTCGACCACCGTCGACCTGACCGGCGGGCAGAAAAAAACAAAAACCCTATCGGACGGTATGCCATCCTACGGAGGCATCAACCCCAAACACCATGCGATAAGGTGTTTAGGGTTGATGCCTCCCTCGGATGGCATGCCCTTCCCATAGGGGTTTATTTTTTTTTACCCCGGGCAACGAGCTCCCTAGGCGGACTCGCTTGTCTGTTGAGATATATTGTTTGCATGGGGCCAAGCCAACCATGCACATCGTGTTCTGAGACGTTTCAAAACCCAACCATGAGCATCGTCTCCCTCTCCCCTGCCATCCTCGTCCGCCGGCTCCATTCAACACCCCCAGCCCGGACCTCTTCCCTTCCTCTCCTCCCTCTGTCTCTCTCTTTACAGTGAGCTGCGGGTGGCGTGTGGTTCGGCAGAGGAGAGTGAGACGTCTCAAACCCTGGACGCCCCCTTCCCCCCCCTTGTCCCCGCATCTCTTCCGTCTCCCTCTCTGTGCAGTGAGCTGTGGGTGGTGTGTGGGTCGGTAGAGGAGTTGACGTCTCAAAACTGAGCGCCCCTTTTCCCCCCCTCCCCCCCCCTCTTCCCCCATCCCTCTCTTCCGTCACCCTCTCTCGGTGCACTGAGCTGCAGGTGGCGTGTGGTTCCAAAGAAGAGACGATATTTGAGGCGCCTCAAAAATCGTCTCATGACTCGCGGGTGGCGTGTGGTTCCCAAGAGGAGTTTTCAAGCGTCCCAATTTTTGAACCCCCAACATCCCTCTACACCCGCCCCCCCCGCTCCATCTCCATCTGTGTGGAGTGTGCTCCAGGTGGCGTGTGGGTCGGAACAGGAGTTTTTGTTTTGTTGCCTCAAAAAACTTCCTCTCTTCCATCTCCGTCTGTGTGCACTGAGCTGCAAGTGGCGTGTGGGTCGGTAGAGGAGTTGACGCCTCAAAACTGGACTCCCCCTTTCCCCACCACACCCCCCCCCCCCCTTGCTCCGTCTCCCTCTGTGTGCAGTGAGCTGTGGGTGGCGTGTGGGTCAGCAGAGGAGGCACTCATTCTGCGCAACTCACTCTCCGACGCCGAACCAGGGACTGGTTCGACGCCGAGGTGAGGGTTCAGGGGAGGTGCGCCCTTCCCACCCACGCCCACCTCCCCGAGGTGACGCCTTCCCAACCGCTACCTGTACAAGACATCACGCACATTAAGGGCGGAGGGTGAGGATTGGGGGGGAGGCAGGGGAGACACGGCGAGACGAGCTTCTGTTCGCAGCAAGCCAAGGCCTCCTCCCCGCATGCTCCACTCATCACCACAGCTCTCTCCATCGCCCCCCATCACCAACCATCACCAACCTTTCTTACGCCATCCACCTCCCCTCCATCCGTGTCCCTTTGTCTCCCTCGGCAGCTGCAACCAGACAAGCTCGTGCGAGTGATCACAGCCCACGACACCCACCATCACCAATCATCAACCCCCATCACCCACCATCACCAACCATCAACCCCCATCACCCACCATCACCAACCATCAACCCCCATCACCCACCATCGCCAACCATCAACCCCCATCACCCACCATCACCAACCATTCTGTCCTTGTACCATCCCTCCGTGCCCCTCATCACCCCTGGCAGCTGCAACCAGAAAAGCTCGTGCGAGTGATCACAGCCCACGACACCCACCTCTCCATGTACGCCCCTTCCGAATCTCCCACACAACCTTTTGTTTTCGTAGCTACATTGCAGACTGCCTTTGTAAACCACAAGCTGTCATCGGCTGGTGCGGGTGATCAAGGCCCCACGACTCCCACCTCTCCGTGAACACCCATAACCTCTCATCTTCCACACGGCCTTTCTCTCGTAGTTGCATCACGGACTGCCTTAGTGATCCACGAGCTTTTATCGGCTTGTTGTGCTTGTGGAGCTCTTTTGAGGGGCCTCAAATATCGGCTTGTTGTGCTTGTGGAGCTCTTTTGAGGGGCCTCAAATATCGGCTTCTTGTGCTTGTGGAGCTCTTTTGAGGGGCCTCAAATATCGGCTTCTTGTGCTTGTGGAGCTCTTTTGAGGGGCCTCAAATATCGGCTTGTTGTGCTTGTGGAGCTCTTTTGAGGGGCCTCAAATATCGGCTTGTTGTGCTTGTGGAGCTCTTTTGAGGGGCCTCAAATATCGGCTTGTTGTGCTTGTGGAGCTCTTTTGAGGGGCCTCAAATATCGGCTTGTTGTGCTTGTGGAGCTCTTTTGAGGGGCCTCAAATATCGGCTTGTTGTGCTTGTGGAGCTCTTTTGAGGGGCCTCAAATATCGGCTTGTTGTGCTTGTGGAGCTCTTTTGAGGGGCCTCAAATATCGGCTTGTTGTGCTTGTGGAGCTCTTTTGAGGGGCCTCAAATATCGGCTTGTTGTGCTTGTGGAGCTCTTTTGAGGGGCCTCAAATATCGGCTTGTTGTGCTTTTGGAGCTCTTTTGAGGGGCCTCAAATATCGGCTTGTTGTGCTTGTGGAGCTCTTTTGAGGGGCCTCAAATATCGGCTTGTTGTGCTTGTGGAGCTCTTTTGAGGGGCCTCAAATATCGGCTTGTTGTGCTTGTGGAGCTCTTTTGAGGGGCCTCAAATATCGGCTTGTTGTGCTTGTGGAGCTCTTTTGAGGGGCCTCAAATATCGGCTTGTTGTGCTTGTGGAGCTCTTTTGAGGGGCCTCAAATATCGGCTTCTTGTGCTTGTGGAGCTCTTTTGAGGGGCCTCAAATATCGGCTTGTTGTGCTTGTGGAGCTCTTTTGTGCACCACTTTCTCATCTCTGCCTGCCTACCACACATGCACTTACCACATCCCACACATGCACTTACCACATCCCACACATGCACTTACCACATCCCACACATGCACTTACCACATCCCACACATGCACTTACCACATCCCACACATGCACTTACCACATCCCACACATGCACTTACCACATCCCACACATGCACTTACCACATCCCACACATGCACTTACCACATCCCACACATGCACTTACCACATCCCACACATGCACTTACCACATCCCACACATGCACTTACCACATCCCACACATGCACTTACCACATCCCACACATCTCACATCTCACATTCTAGCACAACGCACGTTCGTTTAGGGCCGCGAGAGGCTCTCCAAGTGCGTTCTCACTTGGTTTCTCACCGCTCACCACCCTACCTCCACTGCCCTAACCCCACCCACCTGCCCTTCTCCCCACAGACCCTTCTCCCATGCCATCCCCGTCCCACTATCCTACCTCTTCCCCGCTCGCGGCCTCTGCAGCTCCGTCGCGTGTCCCGACGCCCGACTGCTGCGAGCAGCTGTCAACTCCTTGATGGACTCACTCATTCTCACTGCCCGCACCTTTCATGAGTCTCTTCAAAAGTCACTCTCCCCTTCCCCCCACCCCCTCCCCCTGCTCCCACCCTCTCCAGCTCCCTCTCGTGCCCCAACGCTCGACTGCTGCGCGCGGCCTTCAATGCCTTCATCCTCACATGCACTTTCATCCTCACATGCTCTTTCATCCTCACATGCTCTTTCATCCTCACATGCTCTTTCATCCTCACATGCTCTTTCATCCTCATGTGCTCTTTCATCCTCACGTGCTCTTTCATCCTCACATGCTCTTTCATCCTCACATGCTCTTTCATCCTCACATGCTCTTTCATCCTCACGTGCTCTTTCATCCTCACATGCTCTTCTCCCCACAGTCTCCATCCCACCATCCACCTCTCCCCGTACCATCCCTGTCCCACTCTTCTACCACTGCCACCCTCTGCAGCTCCTTCTCATGCCCCGACGCCCGTCTGCTGCGGACGCCCTTCAATGCCTTCAATACCTTCATGGACCCTCTCATCCTCACATGCCCTTCTCCCCACAATCTCCATGCCACCATGTCCCACCATCCCATCGCCCCACCCCTCTCTGCACCTCCTTCAGATGCCCCCATGCTCGTCTGCTGCAGGCAGCCTTCATTAAACTCCCTCATCCTCGCTGCGCGCACCTCTTATGAGGCTCCTCAACAGTCACTCTCCTTCCCCACAACCTCTTCCCCTCTCCCCTCCTTCTGCACCTCCTTCTCGTGACCCGATGCTCATCTGCCTTCAACGCCTTTATGGACTCGCTCACCCTTGCTGCGCACACCATGTTTGAGCCATCTCATAACTCACCTCTCCCCCCCCACCCCAATCCAGCTCCTTCACGTGTCCCGACGCTCGACTGCTGCGAGCAGCCTTCAATGCCTTCATGTACTCGCTCATCCTCGCTGCTCGCACCTTTTGTGAGGCTCCTCATAAGTCACTCCCCCACACCCCCACCCCTCCTCCTCCCCTTCTCTGCAGCTCCTTCTCATGCCCTGATGCCCGTCTCCTGCGAGCAGCCTTCAATGCCTTCATGGACTCTCTCATCCTCGCTGCTCGCACCATCGAGGCATTTGGCCCGCCTCCTCCCATGCAACAACCATGCGTGTGATACAGAAGATTACTGTAGCTTTGCTTCCTATGTGTTCTGAGTTTTATTACCTGATGTTGCACACAGGCCTTAGTCAGCACATCTCTCACAGGTCTTTGGCTTACCCCTGAAAATCGGACTTCAATTTCCCTCTGCCTTGCGAACAGTTGATGCATTCTGTTCTGTATACCATAGTTTTTGTTTCAGACAAATGTTGTCTTGTGCAAAATTTAAGGTAAACTTATTCTGCTGCCTGATTGAAAAGGAAATAGCATACAGTCTACACATCGATGCCTACAAGTCCCCATGCATTCTGAACAGCAGGTAATAGTTTCTGCAAGCCATCAGTGATAATTCTCAGAAATCTGTATCAGGCAGTTCATTTGATGAACCAACCTTCCATCCATACGAAACAAAAGTTTGTGCTGTGTAATACATTTTGCATTGATTACAAGTACCTGTCCTAGCCAGAACTATATCCTAGTAATATACAGTGAACACATCACTGCCTACATTCGTCATGTATCCCAACAGCAGCTAGGAGCTGTTCCGTTGGTGTCGCCATTGTTCCAGCACACCATTCAGTGTATGTACAGTTCATGTTCTTCATGAATCCCCTCTGAAGCACATGCCTTGGAGAGCTGTGAGGAGCTTGGCAGCAGCAGGTGGGAGAGGCGGCAATGCACTGAGGGCTCTTTCAGGAGCTCCTTCTGTGCGCCCTGCTGCTGCTGCTGCAGCCTGGCCTCGCCTGCCTCTCATGCACCAAACCCTCTCTCCTCCCCGCCTGCTGCTTCACCCCCTCCCTGCCACACATGCCACTTGCCACTGCTCTACCACCTGCTGCCTTCACACCACCCTGCCTTCCACCTGCTGCCCTCCCTGCTGCTCCCAACCCGCACCCACCCACCTCTCTCCTCTTCACCCCACTCGCGTGTCTGCTGCCGGCCTTGCCACCTGCTCTCACTGATGATGCAGCACCACGTGATCCTGCAACTGCTGCTGCTACTGCACATGGGGCAGCGCCTGCATGCCTGCTGCTGCCCTTGCCACCCTTCACACCCGTGCTCACCACCTTGCTGGTGCACCCATTCTTGCCCTTCACGGTTTCAACCCCCACCTTGCACCTTGCTGCAACAGCAGGTCTTGACTCCTGTGCTGCTGGTGAAGCTCCTCTCACTGGTGATGCCGCAACAGGTGATTTCACTGTTGTTGCTGATGCTGCAGAGGGAGCAGCTGGTGCTGCGGAATCTGCTACAGTCGCTGCAGCTGCAGATACAGGAGGTACGGTTTTACCAGGCGCGATCCAGGCAGGCAGGGAGGCTTCAATGGCGGCTTCAATGTCCCTGGCCCACGTCGCCTGGTCCAGCTTGGCCCATCTCAGGTAAGCAGCACGTGCTCTCAATTTTTTGGTCATTTCAATATCCATAGCTCGAACCTCCTGACGCAGCTTGTCCCACCTCGCTTTCTCATTCGGATCAGCACCACGTGCACTCGCCTCCGTGGTGGTGATGGTCGGTTCAGCCACTTGGGGTGTGGTTGAAGCCACTGGAGCCACAAGCGATACCTCAGTCACCACCATAGGCGCAAGCACAGCAGATGGTGTGATGGGAGCAGCAGTGACGGCCACAGGTGCAGGTGCAAGCACGGCAGCAGCAGGCTTGCCTCCGAAGCGGCCGATTCCAGGCCGTTTAACAAGAGGTTCGTCCGCCACGTGCGACTTGGTGGGCTTGTGCTGCCCGTCAGCGAGGTGATTCGCCAGATTCTCCAGCAGCGGCCTCACGCTCTTCAGAAGCACGCTGCTGCAGAACGTCTCACCGTCGCCGTTGCAAGCAGCACGCTTGGCAGGAGAGTAGCTTACAGGCGAGAAAACGGTTCGCGGGGTTCCGAACCTGCCAACGCCTCTGGTAGGCGTCGCAGGACTGCTCGCCGAGTGGGAAACATAGTTTAAAAAGCAATTATCAGCAAGAGATGCCATGTTACTTGACTGCAGATAGCTGCACAGAAACTGATCGTCGGAGAGAGGCTGATTTCTGAAAAGTGTATTCACTGCTGATCGACAGAGCGGCAGAGGAAGTGGGAATGAAAAGTTTCAACCCTGGCCACCCCATTTCAACTTGCACTCCGCCCTCGCCCGCTCAAATCCTCGCCTCCAAGCCTAGATGCCTCGTCTGCCTCATCATTGGAGTTCCAGGCTCGGCTGCGTCGCTGTCTACTCGTTAACGTGCCACGTCACTCGTATCGAACGGTGGAAAAACAAGGAGCTAGGTGTGTGGACGGATTTCGAAGAGTCTTTTTCTGGGGTTTCAGGTTCGGGATCTTGGTGGCGTCGCGTCAGGCGAAATCAGCGGTTTGGGAGGCTTGGGGACATTCTCGCTGTGTCGGTGACTTTCAAGTTCGTGGGTCCGTCGAGGCGCGTCACCAGTTTCCCGCCACTGTTTTCGCACAAGATTCCTAGCCGTTTCTGGACGCTCTTGCTACAACGGTTGTAGGAGAGGGGGCACACTGTTCGCCGAAGCATTTCGCAAGGAAATCGCAAATCTCCATGAAAAGTGTTTTTAGGGATCATCGTGGTGGCTGAGGGATCGCAGGGCTGTGGGATTGCTCGGCTGCTGGATTCAGAATGGCAGCCATTGGGATTCACGTCTATGTGGTATGGTGGAGGTTCAAATGGAGAAGGATTGCATTGAACTCCCTAAATGCGGTTCAGTTTGTGTGAAACATCTAGCGGCACGAATCATTGGACAATAATTAATTAAAAGGAGGTGATTTTTACGAGCTTTGTGAGCTGGACCAGCATTTTCACATACTCGTAAAATCTATCAGTGTCAAAGTACAATCTTACTTGAAGGCTATAGTGGGGCACTCCTTATGGGGTACAACACTTTTAGGGTTAGTACTTGTACCCAAACTCTTGCTAATCCAATCATTCCTGCACAGTTATTCTGACATGGTATCAGAGCAAGAAACATGTTAAGTTTTTAGGGCCCACCGATAGTTCCGCTCGTTCCTGCCCGATGCGCACTTGCGCTGTCCGGCCCTGCTCGAACAGTGTCGCGCTGCCCTGCAGCTACTGCCTGCCTGCCTACTCGCACTGCCTGCCCCCCACACGTCGCGCCCTGCTGCAGCCAGCGCGTCGCGCCCTGCTGCAGCCAGCGCGTCGCGCCCTGCTGCAGCCAGCGCGTCGCGCCCTACTGCAGCCAGCGGGTCGCGCTCTGCTGCCCCTCGCGTCGCGCCCTGCTGCCCTGCACAGCGCGCGCCCTGCTACCCTGTCCACCGCGCGCCCTGCCCTGCAGCCCGCAGCGAGCCCTGCCCGGCCGAGCCGCGCCGCCCAGCCCGAGCCGGTGTTTCGGGTATGGGGCGCGCTCTCCCTTGTTCGCGATGCCAAAGCGAGCAAGCTCTCCTCTCGCATTCTCCGCTGCGTCTTCCTTGGCTTCCCCACCGACGCCCCGCCGTGGCAGTTCTACCACCCGCGCTCGCGTCGAGTCTTCTCCTCCCAGGATGTCACCTTTGACGAGTCTGTCCGTTTCTACAGGCTACACCAGCACGCTCCTTAGTGTCGAGAGTAAAGGGGAAAAGTGATGTTTACTATCGAGAGAGTTGGTACAAAATAAAACCTAAGGGGTTGTACCTCACAGTGAGTACCTCACTAAAGCCTACCTAAACTATAACATATAAACATATGTTTGACACACCCCCATAGGCAAAGTGGGGGAGAACAGAGGGTTACAAGGCCAGACAGCGAGTGCAAAACAAGCTCAGGGTGGATCACAACGTCACCACGCAGTCTGAGCACAAGCAAAAGGCCACAAGGCCAATTCACATGCAGAGATATATGTGTAACAACAACAGCACAGTGATATCTACCTACAAGAGCAAGCATACAGGTATACATATAGATCACAGTACAAACAAAGCCTACAGCAAGTGAGGAAGCGTGGGAACAAGGCCTAACAAAGTGCAGAAACGCTGATGATCACCAGGCGGAAGCGCCTTGGTGAATATATCAGCAGTGTTGGCCCGAGTGGCCACGTGTGCAAGACGAAGCTGACCACGCTGCTGCAACTCTCGAGCCAAGAAGTAACGCAGAGCGATGTGTTTCGTTCTGTGCTCCAGTCTGTGCTCCTGACACAAGCCAATGGCGGCCTTGTTGTCGACGTACAGCACTGGAGGAGAACGAGGCCGCTCTCCCAAGTCGGTGTCAGCAGGTAGGTGAGCCAGCGTAACTCCTGTGCAGCCATGGCTGTGGCGTAGATCTCAGCCTCACAACTGGAGCTGAGAACTGAAGACGAGCGTGTAGAACGCCAAGAAACTGAACCAGAGCCAAGGCTGAAGGTGTAACCCTGGGACGACCGCTGCGTAGCCTGGTCGTCAACCCAAGAAGCGTCCGAGTGACCAGTGAGGACAACGTCGCCTCGTCCTCCAAGCACGAGCCCCATGCCCGATGTACTGCACAAGTAGCGCAGTACCCTCTTAGCATCATTCATGTGCACCTTTCGGTGCCGACCAGGAGCCACGTAGCGAGCCAGAAGGCCAAGAGGGTACGCAAGGTCAGGTCGTGTGCACGTCATCAGGTACATGAGGCAGCCCACTAGCTCTGGGTAAGGACCACTCGGCTCTACGGACTCGTCCGAAGGTGGAGCTGAGAGCGAATGACCTGTAGCCAGAGGAGTGGCCTGTGCTGAGGACCAGGTGAAGCCGAAGCGCTGAAGGACCTGCTGCACCATGTGTGACTGAGTCAGTGTGATGGTGCGGCGTGCTCTGTCCCGGGTGATCTGCAAGCCAAGGTAGTTGCGCAGCTCACCCAGGTCTGTGCACGTGTGTCTCTTCTGCAGCTCCGACTTCACCAGGGCGAGAGCCTCATTGTCAGCAGTGGCAAAGACCAAGTCGTCGACGTACACGAGGATTTTGAACGGCGGCAGCGAAGTGTCAGTGCGCAGAAACAGCGACGGGTCAGCAGTCGACGGAGCAAACCCAAGAGCCGCAAGTGTCGTCCTCAGTGTGTCGTGCCACTCATGTGGCGCCTGGCGGAGACCGTAGACCGGCCGCCGGAGGCTCCACTGGGTACCAGGAGGGAACGACCCAGTGAAGCCAGGCGGGCGGCGCAGCCAGATCTCCTCGTGCAGGCTGCCCTGCGAGAAAGCTGTGCTGAAGTCAAGAGAGTGAAGCTCGTAGTCACGCTGAGCGGCAACGTGCAGCAGCACCCGAAGAGTGGTCATCTTCGGGGTGGGGGAGAAGGTCTGGAAGAAGTCAACTCCCTCTCGCTGACTGAAACCTCGAGCAACGTAACGAGCCTTGAAGACAGGCGGAGAACCTGGCGGCCGCTTCACCCTGAAAATCCACATGCCACTGACGATGTTCGCCCCAGGAGGGGGAACCTCGTCGACATAGGTGCCTGTGGACTTCCAGGATGCCATCTCTGCGTCCATGGCTGTCTGCCACTGAGAGGAGTAAGGACCCGTAATCGCCTCTGCGTAAGAGCGCGGGGTCGGGATGTCTGGAGCATCCGGGTCTCCCTCAGGGGCAAGCAGCATGGACACGAGATGAGGCGCGGCGGCTGCAAGACACTCAAGGTCCTCCTGCATGTCCTCGAGGACGTCCGTGCCAAGAGCACACTCACCCCCGACGGACGGAGGACAGACAGACGCAGACTCAGCAAGAAGACTAGCGGCATAGTCCAGACGACAGGCATCAGCAAAGTCAGCAAGCTCAGCGACTAAGGCAGACGCAGCAGTAGACTCAAACGACGGGTCAGTGACAACAGTGGCTAGCAGACGCGTGACAGTAGGGTGAGCAGCAGGAGCGCAGTCAGACTCAGGCTCAGGAATGGTAGGCAGAGAAGACGCAGGAGGGGACGGCAGGGGAACACTCTGCGGAGGAGAGGAAGGACGACGGACTACAAGGTGGGTGCCGGGGACAGCCGGCTGACACGAACCAGGAACACGACGACCGGAACGACCAGAACGGACAGGCGAGACAGGACGTGACACAGGCTCACGACGCTCAGTAAGACCCCCTGTCTGCTCAGTGTAAGGAGAAGGAGCAGGCAGCGGCGAGCCAGGCTGTAACGGAAGACCAGTAGACGAAGGGAGACTAAGAACCTGGCGAAGCACAGAGTCAGACGGTGGCTGAGACGACGGAGACGGTGGAACAAAGAACAGGCGCGGCTGTGCACTGCTACCAGCACCAGCAGCTCCAGCACCTAATGGCAATGGACATCAGGCTTCTCATCTCTATGGTCCAACCCAAGGACGGTCTTCATGCGTCCCTAACCTATACGTTGGGCAGAACAAGAGGTCCTTGCCCTCACACACAGTTACGACCGTTATTTAAACGTACACTTGTTCGCTTTTGGTGTATGTCTCAATTACCTTTGGCAAGCCAATGTTCAAAAGTTTCGTTTGAACCAGGCTTGCCAACGCAAAAGTGTTGGCTCACAAAATTTTAGAATTCCGCCCCAAAAGGTAACTCCAAAAGTTTGGAGTATCAATCTACGAATATCAAGGCCCCAAAAGGTAACTCCGCCCACTCACCTCCAATGAAGTAGGTGATGCGTGCTGCGATGACAATCGCAAGCGAGCAGTCCGATGGAATCGCCGGTGTCTGGAGAAGAATGGCTGCTGTAGCGAGGAGGGATTCTAGGCGATGCAGGTTAAGATTGTACAGAGGACGTCTAGATATCGTTTGATGACCCCGACAGAAGGCATCGGAGAGGATGGGTGGGTGCGTTCTGATGAGAAATACTTTGACCAATCGAGGAAATCTAACATCTATCACCGTGAGTCCTTGAACTACGTCCTCATCCCATGTGGCTCCAAGAGAGATGAGATCATGGATGCAATATCGTGGAGAGCCTCCGCTTTGCGAGTCGCGTCGGTTAGATGTCAGAAGGGTGTGTGGTATTGAAGTGCTTGTAGGGTCGCAGGAGAATTTCTGCATGTAGGGCATCTCTTGACCTGGTCAAGCGACATCGCCGTG